TGGACCTTAATGTAGACCAATTTGAAAACGGAACCAAAAATTAAGAATCTAAATACACGGTTAGATTCGGCATATCAAAGAACCCCAATAATTCAATTTTTGATGAAATCAAACAAAGTTAAATTTTGGACCCTTTGGACCTCAATGTGGACCAATTTAAAAACGGGGCCCAAAATCCAAAAACTTAATACACGGTTAGATTCAGCATATTAAAGAACCCCAAGAATTCAAAAATAAAACCCCATTGAAATTGATCAAGAAATAAGCAATTTATACGAAGTATCTTCTTTTGCACAATACTGTGCAATTGAATATTTCTTGCTATTGCGCAATACTGTACAATTGACAATTTCTTGCTATTGCGCAATATTGTGCTATTGGATATTTCTTGCTATTGCGCAATACTGTGCAATTGAAGATTTCTTGCTATTGCGCAATACTGTGCAATTGAAGATTTCTTGCTATTGTGCAATACTGTGCAATTGAAAATTTCTTGCTATTGCACAATACTTATTAGATAATAATTTACACATCATGTTTGGTGTGTATCTCCTACCATATCATTAATATTTGCTTTTAAATATTAATCAGAAATAACCAACAAAAATGGAATATTTTAAAAGAAAAAAAAAAGGAAAAAAAGAAAAAAAAAGAAAAAAAAAGAATCCCCCCCCAAATTTTTTGAACCCCCTTATGATTCATCACCCCCAAACTCAATCCCAGCCTTCCCTTTGTGGTATGGTACCTTGCAGTACAATTTCAGAGAGATCCATACACTTGAACACAAGTTATTGTCTGGAAACTAGAAAAATGCTTATTTTTGGCCCCTTTTTGGCCCCCAATTCCTAAACGTTTCGGGCAATTACCCCCAAACTCAATTCCAGCTTTCCCTTTGTGATATGGAACCTTGTAGTACAATTTCAGAAATATCCAAACACTTACACACAAGTTATTGTCATGAAACTAGAAAAATGCTTGTTTTTTGCCCCTTTTTTGGCCCCTAATTCCTAAAATTTTGAGGCAATTACCCCCAAAATCAATTACAGCCTTTCCTTTGTGATATGGAACCTTGTGGTACAATGTCAGAGAGATCCATACACTTACACACAAGTTATTGTCTGGAAGTTACAAAAATGCTTATTTTTGGCCCCTTTTTGGCCCCTAATTCCTTAACTGTTGGTACCATAACCCCCAAAATCAATCCCAACCTTCCTTTCGTGGTATTGAACCTTATGGTAAAATGTCATGGAGATCCATTCACTTAAACTAAAGTTAGAGTGCGAAAACCAATGTGTCTTCGGACGACGCCAGACGACGACGACGCCGGACGACGACGCCAACGTCATACCAATATACGACCAAAAAATTTTTAATTTTTGCGGTCGTATAAAAAACAACAGTCGAAGGCCACCAATGGGTCTGTATATATTGCAGTTTAAGTCCAAGCATACTCCAATTTCAAAATAAAACTATAACTGGCAGTTATAGTTTTATTTTGAAATTGGAGTATGCTTGGACTAATACGACAGTACTTTAAAATACTCCATTCAACATATATATAATATATATATATATATAAAAGAGACTTCATCAACACATTACAAACATTATTTTCTCATACAGCTTTCAAACAACAGAATTAAAAATACTTGGGAACAACACTCAATTGTCTATATAGACATCTCTTCATAGACGGTCAGAGTTGTCGTTATTTATATGTTGTGTACAAATTGTAATGTTGTACAAATTATAATTTGTACAGATTTTTTGTACAAGTTATTAATTATAAGTGTTTTATGAACCGTTTAATACAAATGGATGATGCAAGCGCACAGTCTTTTGTTTCAAATATTTCTTTTATATTTCCAAGACTACATGATACAGTCTAATACTGAGCACTGATACAAAAATCATTATAAGAACACAAAAAGACTTTTTATGGATATGATTTTGGTATAAGGAGAAAAATAAAATTAGAATTTAAACCATTGAGGTGTCCTTATTTCCAGTTTGAGGACAAGGAGAATAGCACTAAACGTAGGTTAAAGTATATACATTTGAATTTAAGGCATTAAACTGATACATTTTAGAAGATAAGCTTTTACCACCTGGTGCAAAAAGGTGTATGTCAAAAAACTTATAATTTGTACAAAAATCCTGTACAAATTATAATTTGTACAAACTTATATCTTGTACACAACATATACTAAAAATCAGCTTCAAAACATTATTAGAGACTTCTCATCAGACATATTCTTTTTTCCCTTAAATCATTTATTTCGTCAAAAGACTAATTTTATACTTAGTCTCAGTTGTTAATATAGACGGTCCGAGTTGTCTTATTGACGGTCCAAGTTGTCTTATTGAATGTCCAAGTTGTCTTCATAGACGGTCAGAGTTGTCTTTTTTGGAGATAGTCCAAGTTATCTCTGGGCCCACTTGTCTTGCACCCCTTCTGCTGCACAGCCTTCACAGTTAACTTTTAAGTCCACAAGCCCAAAGCTCAATTTTTTCAAAATTTTAGTTGGATTCTGTTGGCTTGTAGAGAAGAATTTTACAAGTCAGAAAGCAATTTTACAAGCCAATGCCGTAGGACTTGTGGTTAAGCGTGAAGACTGTCTCCAGACTGGAAAAAAATGCACATCAAAATCCAGGTAAGTTTTTTATTTTCTGAAAGAGCGACGAAAGATACCAGAGGAACAGCCAAACTCATAGATAGAAAACAAAGACTACATATAACATTTATATATCTAGGTCCTGTCATGCCTTAAAACTTGCCTAGATGCATCAGTTTTTCTGTCCTCATAGTAGAATTTGTGGTGTAAACACAGCCATATTTTTTAATTCCTTTTGATGAACCTTAAGTGTTATCATTTTGCCTATTTAGAAAGAAATATATGTGTAATTTTAACTGGAGAAACAAATTCATTAAAACGGCTATCATTATAGCACATTCGACTCAGAAAAATATTATCTTTGCTGATTTGGCCGTCTTGATCATTGTCCCTTGCGCATATATATAAACTTATTTGCCCTTCACAACCCTTGTGTAGAGTAACACTAATAACACTAACAGTAACAAGTTTATTCAGGTCAGGAATAACCACCAATTGGTGGATTATACCTCAACTGACGTATAATCCACCAATTGACATATATTGGTATAGACCAATTGACGTATAATGCAAGTTTTTTGTTATAAAATGCTAGTGTGAGATAGGAGCATCATTTTGCAACTTACAACCTATTTTATGACCATTATTGAGTCCTCCGAAAGTTTCAGTTTTGTCAAAGCCTGCTGCATCTCTTGAGAATGCATGTGTACAACAATTCTTTTGTTGAAACATCTGTACTATTGACCATGATTGACTCTTAATAATGAAAGTCAAGTATTAACAAAGAGCTCCATTCACCTGTGGAGTTGTACTCATAATCACATGACTACAGACAGTATTGATGTCCATTGACAGGTGATTAGTGGTAAATTTGCCAATCAAGAATTGACAAGATAACAATAGAAGAAACTGCAAATACAATTATTCAGGTGGAAACCCAGTTGAAATAGAACAAAAGAATCGAAGCTCTTTGTTAGAGAAGGCAATAAATGTCTACTGTAATGTTTACTATAGTAACAAAATTTTTAAAAGTTAATAGAAACATATAACATGTATAAAATGACAGTTTTCGGCTAAATTACGAAGTATTTTATCATAAAAACACCATTTGCATAAGTTTTCAATTTATCTATTACATAATTAAGCAGAATAATTAGATATCAAGTCGACGACATGGGTGTCTATTCAGTTGGATCTAAAAAATGCATAATCTCCGATTTAAAAAAAAAAAATACCACAGACGGAGAACATATCAATCTATTTGATCCTTAATTTTCGTTTCTGCCCTTCCATTATGTGACTCAAGAAATAATTCCAAAAATGGGTAACAATTGCATCGAAAAGAGAAAATCGAGTGCACCTTTTTATGTTAGGGCGTGTTTGGGTTGAATATTTTGTCTTGAAAACGCAAAAAGCAAAAGTATTTGATACATCATCTCGCTTCAGATTCTAATATTTTTATATATCAAGGCTACAGGTTGACTTTATAACATCGAAAATTCACAGTACTAAAAAAATGAAATATATGGGTCAAGTGAAATACCTTTCTAATGAATCACAGAAACAGAATAGGTGTGTTCGAATAGCAAATTTTTACTAAAAATACTTGACGACAGACTTTTAAGTTGGATCTTAAAAATGCATATCTTCGAAAAAACTTCATTTTTTGTGTGTGATATCTAGGGTTTATAGTCTTCAACCACTGAAAATTTTTAGTCTGCCCTTCCACGAAATATTGAAGTAGAATTTTTTTAAATGTTTATGAATTTTCGAAAATTCCACCTGACAACCGATCAGACACTAGTTTTAAGTTGACTGAATGTAGACAAGTACATTAACTGATGTTCATTAGCTAGTAGATACATTTGTCTTTTAAAATACAACTGGCATATAAGGATCGTAATGGTGCTATGTGGATAAATTTATCGGTTTTCAAGAGCTAAATTGGCAGCACGTCGTCCCTACAATGGCTTCCATTTTTAAGATTGTAAAAATAAACTGGCGTAATGGGGAGATAATTTTGACAAAGTAGAATCCTGACTGTATTGATTAAATGCAATATGTTATGTCACTAAACTAAACTAGGAATGTTTGACATGTTTTCATACAATAATATGGTTTTAAGAAAACAATGCTCCATTTTGATTGAATAATTTGCTTTGAAAAACAAAGAATTATACGTCAATTGGTCTATACAATTATATGTCAATTGGTGGATTATACGTCAATTGAGGAATAACCACCAATTGGTGGTTATTCCTGACCTGTTATTAGAGCATAATCTAAAAAAGATATGTTTGATGTCAACAAAATGTTTTCAACCATAGATCAATGTCAATATGTTTGTTTTGGTTTTTTTTAAATGTGTATATATTTAAAAATTACTGTTTTACTGTGATTAAAAGCAAATGTATTTCGTAATGAAATTGCAACTCTGTTGACTATGGAGGCTGCCATCTTGGTTGGAAGATAACACAATGATAACATATGTCGAAATATTTATCTCAAATTTACCTAAAAAATTACAATATTTTAAATAATCCTAATATTAAAATTAAACTACATTGAAATATTCATTCAAATTAAGGATAACTATAAAGATTTTTTTATATTTCTTCTTTAAGTGTTATCATTTTGTCTTGAAATTTATGCCTTTTAAGGGCATGCGAGTTGGAGTACCGGAAATTGCCCAACCTTTTCATTTCTAAATAGTGCTTACGTTTAAAACACACTGCGTCGCTCTGAAAAGCGTTTTGTTGACTTATATCAAATTTATGACGTCATTTTTGGGTCACATATATATACCACGTGACAACCCAGCCTCGATCTCTTTTACGCTGTGGCCAAATAACAGTGAGTATGATGAAAATTTAGTTACTTCTAATCCATTAAAATATTACATTAATTTAAGTCATCTGATGATTTTAGCGATCATTTTGACTCTATTACGGTATTTGGATGTTATAAACTCATTATTTCTTTTGAAAACCATGTTCTTGGGATAATTTTTCAAGACCGGCTTTTCGTACCACGTCGACAAAACCCGACATTCACAGTGCCGACATTTTGACAAAGGAACCGACTTAAGTGTAAAACAATCATTATGTTTATGATTATTATATTTATTGGAAATTTCTCAAATAGAGATATGAAGTTGTCAAGACCTTGATGCCGTTCTTATCTCTGGAATATATGTTAGTCCATATTGCGTTGCAAGTAAAATGACTAATATGGCAATAATTCACACGTGGGATAAGGATGAATAGTTTACCGGAAGAAAAAGTAAACTGGGATGTGAGAATGTTTCATGTCTATTTTATTTACTCTCTAAATAAACCAGTTGACCGTGTATGGTTCAATAAAATGGGGGAAGGGGAAAAGAACTTGTCTAGCTACGTAAAAACTAGATTCAAACGAACATTTAGAAATGTAAATAAGTCTGGAGTTTTGTAAAGATCTTGGCTTGAAGTGCTACAAAATCCATATTTTCTGATGAACACGTTGAACTTGCTATGACTGCTGTTTCCCTTAACTATGGTCAGATCATGTTTTCGTACGTCATTGAATGTGTACTATGCATTGTCAGTGATATTGTTTGCCTCAAATTACAGCCGAAATTCGGCTTTTTCCCCTAGAGAAAATTCCCAATTACTAAAAAAAATGGCTTAAAATTCCTCCCAAAAAGTTTTACATTTTCCCAAAACAGTGATGGCATTGGTAGTAATGATTGTAAATATCGTATTCATGTTATTATTTTGATATTAGAAAGCACTTTTGAGATCCGGTTTTCTGATCAGAATCATCATGGTGTTTGTAAAACATGTGGTTTTCAATGCATTAAGTACCATCATTGCTTCTGTTTCTTTCCCCTCTTCGAAAAGTACCTTTTAGGTTGAAAATGTCTGACAACCAAAATATACATGAAAACAACAGTGCAAAAAAGACAGCAAAGGTCAGCAAAAAATCGCTGATGTGTTCAGAATAAAATATACAATTTTCCCAATTTCCATAAAAATATGCATTTTTCCCAATAAAAAACGGTAGAGGTAGTTTTGAAAAAAGACAACAATATCACTGATTGTTTTTCAATGGAAATTGTGACATCAAAATGCATTCTTAATAGAAGGAAACCCCATTAGACGAGGATATATGTACAAAATGTCCCTTATATTCAGTATTTGTTCTGTATTGATATTATTGTGCTTTAGAAACTTTGCAATACACCGTCCTATGTAAACCTGGAGTAAATAGGGTGGACAGGGAACCCTCAAAACAAAGTATTGTATGTTATCAGGGTTTTAATGTTTTTTCAGGTCCACATTCAGAAGCCTAACTAAGCATTAAGCAACCATGGGGAAGGAAAAGATTCATATCAACATTGTCGTCATTGGACACGTCGACTCTGGAAAGTCCACATCAACTGGTCATTTGATTTACAAATGTGGTGGAATCGACAAAAGAACCATTGAAAAATTCGAGAAGGAAGCAGCTGAGGTAAGTTGTGTAGTTTCATTGATTACTGTTTTTTCCAGGTCTGAAATGCTTACACATACTAAATGTTCATTGTTTAAATAAAAAAAACAGATATAAAGATGAGTGATAAAAGTTGCATTTTACCTTGTAATTATTAATCTGTAGGAAAAACTATGAAAGGTCAAATTGCTCCCACAAAAAAAATCAATATGATGAAAAGTCTTTAGTTTCAAGTTTTGAGCTGAATTGCCATCCTCATACATGAGTGACAGAGATACATGACATGTACATTGTGCTATTTGTTGTTACATTTTATGCAACAATATTACATAAGATACATAACAGTAATTGGTCTTGTGCTTTTCTACTGTGCATTGCTTACACACTTGACCAATAAGAATGCAGTAGAATGAAAAACAAAAATTATACAATCTGTGTATAAAAATGCTGCTAGTGCTAATGTTTTATGTAATCTTTTAGATGGGAAAAGGCTCCTTCAAGTATGCCTGGGTTTTGGACAAACTGAAGGCTGAGCGTGAACGTGGTATTACCATTGACATTGCTTTGTGGAAATTTGAGACCACCAAATACTATGTTACTATTATTGATGCTCCTGGACATAGAGATTTCATCAAGAACATGATCACTGGTGAGTTTAAATCTTCAAAATATAATCAATGTAGCAAAAATGACTATAAATCAGATTTCCGTATTTTACTTATAAATGGACTTAGTTTTTCTTCCAGTTAACATTACATACAGTCTGCAGTTTGTTTTTAACACATTTATTAGATTCATAAACCAGCCTGGATTTTTACCAAACTTGAACAGAAGCTACTTACAATCAAAAGATAGTATAGAGACGAATATTTTTATTAATTTTTTTCCTCATTTTTGTTAAGCCTGCGAATAACAGCAAAAGTAGGCGAGACACTAGGTTCCGCAGAACCCTTACAAATTTTTTTGAGATGTCATAATGCTAATTCATTTTTCATTTTGTTTATTTAAGGTACATCTCAAGCTGATTGTGCTGTTTTGATTGTTGCATCTGGTACTGGTGAGTTTGAAGCTGGTATCTCATCCAATGGTCAGACAAGAGAACACGCCCTTTTGGCTTTTACTCTTGGTGTAAAACAGATGATTGTCGGAGTCAACAAGATGGACAATACTGAACCACCATACAGTGAAGTAAGTATTGACATTTCAAAGTTTGTTCTTTTTTAAAAATCACAAGTGGTGATGCATTACAGTCATTTGGATGCTATTGGTCAAAAAGCTAATGTTGATTCAGGTTAGAATTAATAGTGGCATTTCAATTTCTGATACATATTTATTTGCATTCATCTTAGCAAATATGATCCATCCGAAATAAACTAGATATAATTTTTCGAGGTAACAATCCTTTCACAAATGAGCTAAGTTTGGAAGATAGTTTTAAGTGAGGGTACACATGTTAAATTTTATTCCACTAGAAAAATTTGATGACACTTTTCCACATTTTGTACAAGAAATTAATTGTCAGATTGTAAAGCTTTATACTTTATTTGTATTTTTTTTCAGAGCCGATTCAATGAAATCCAGAAGGAAGTCAGCAGTTACTTGAAGAAAATAGGATACAATCCTAAATGTGTAGCTTTTGTACCAATTTCTGGATGGCATGGAGATAACATGATTGAGCCATCTGAAAAGATGGGCTGGTACAAGGGATGGTCAGTTGAAAGGAAAGAAGGAAATGCCAGTGGCAAAACCTTATTTGAAGCTCTAGATTCTATCCTGCCACCATCAAGACCCACAGACAAAGCTCTCCGTCTCCCATTACAGGATGTGTACAAAATAGGAGGTAAGGTCTTATTATTACTAGTACCGGTTTATGTGTTGACTCTACAGTACAACTTGGTGAATTAAAAGATCAGGAACAGACATCAGCTCATTAGTTTTCTTCTTTGTATTGTTTTACATTTGCAATTTTAGGAAACAAGTTTTCAGGGTCAAATAAATTCAAATTTAACGTAGAGTATACAAAATCTTTTTTTTTTTTTTTTGAAGACCAATTAAGCATCAACTTGAATCTTACAGAATACAGTAATTAATACACTTAAAGGATATTGAAAATAACGATGTATTGTATATAAATTTTAGGTATTGGAACAGTGCCAGTAGGTAGAGTAGAAACTGGTATCATCAAGCCTGGTATGGTTGTTACCTTTGCTCCAGCCAACATCAGTACTGAAGTTAAGTCAGTAGAAATGCACCACGAGTCTCTCCCTGAAGCTTTACCAGGAGATAATGTTGGTTTCAATGTAAAGAACGTCTCCGTCAAGGAAATTCGTAGAGGAATGGTCTGTGGTGACAGCAAAAATGACCCACCCAAAGGAGCCAAAAGTTTTATTGCACAGGTAAGCATCCAGCGCAATGTATTGTCTGTTAAATGCAGGATGCAATATTTATGCCTTTTACAATCTGATATCCGATTAAACCTATAAAATTCAGCCCAATAGATGTGCATATTAATATTTCTATATATCAGAGTGCATATCAATATTTCTATATATCAGATTTTGAAAACGAATTTTTGTCAACACCAAAACTAGAGAGTGGGTATCCCCTCATTGCATTTTTCACAATATATGAATATTAATATATATAAAAAATTTATCCCTCAAATTGAATTTTTTATTCTTCTGGTATTTCAACAAATATGTTGCATTTATTTAGATTAATCGGACTAGGATTAAAAATATTTTATATTTACTTAGATCATATCTGAATTATTTCCTGGTGTCTAAATTGAAGAAATTTGATACCCAATGAAATGTGTTTTTATGCCCAACTTGTTATGTTAGAGGGGCATTTTTTTTATTCGTTGTATATGTCTTGTCTGTCTCACTTCAGGTTTAAGTTTTTGGTGAAGGTTGTTTTTGATGAAGTTGAAGTCCAATCAACTTGAGACTTAGTACACATGTTCTATGATATGATCTTTCCAATTTCACGGTCCACTGAACATAGAAATGATAGTGCGAGTGGGGCATCCGTGTACTATGGACACATTCTTGTATTTACATCAGTATTGTCTGTTCTTGATCAAGAATTATTAAATGTTGAATTCAAATCAAACTTGACCCAAAAAAATTGAATATTTCATGATGGGTCACTGCTGAAAATTTATCATTTCAAATGAAGCGAAAGATACTAAATTCAAACTCGCAATTTTAAAACAGTCATGGCAATAAACAAAAAAGACCAACAACAATATACAAAACAACATTGACAACAAAATCTGGGGTTTGATTTTATGTTGTACCACATTTTCCCTACAGACCCACTTCAAACAAATGGCAATAAAATAAATGTTTGTATTCCAACAGGTCATCATCTTGAACCACCCTGGAGAAATTAAGAATGGATATGCGCCAGTCTTGGATTGTCATACAGCTCATATTGCCTGTAAATTTGTTGAAATCAAAGAAAAGATTGACAGAAGAAGTGGTAAGAAACTTGAAGAATTCCCAAAATTCATCAAATCTGGGGATGCTGGTATTGTGGACATGACACCATCAAAGCCTATGTGTGTTGAATCCTTCCAAACATACGCCCCATTAGGACGTTTTGCTGTAAGAGACATGAGACAGACCGTCGCTGTAGGAGTCATCAAAGAAGTTACAAAGGCTGAACCTGCCAGTGGCAAAGTTACCAAATCTGCAGCAAAGGCCGGCAAAAAATGATGTGAGGCCAGTCTAGATGATGTTGATATGGAATTGAAGACTGAAATAAAAAACAAACTAATTTTTTGTCAAAATTTAAGACCACAGCAAATTATGTATTGGACAATTTGGTTGCTTAGAAGTAAAATTCATCGTAAAGAAATCAGGCGGAAAAACTTGTAAATGCTATAGGCAATGGCATAATTTTATTTATGTTTAAAAAAATAATTAAAAAAAATGCCTAACATCTTTTTGTGTTTATATTATAAGTATGATGTGTGTGGTTTCCTTGGAAAGGCAGTTAGATCCCTAGTCGGGTCTAACCAAAAAGACTTGAAAAGCAAAATTTCCTGCACCTCGGGAGCAGGCATCATTAAAGAGCGTCAGCAAATACTGGTCTGACCTTTATGCCAGATGTTAGCATAACTTTATAATGTAAATGAAATGACGGTAAAATGTGAAGAAATGTGCTGAATATATCCCTTTTGGTATTGGGAATGGAGTTATTGAGGTTAAATTATTACATTGTGCCTGTCTCAAGTCTGGTGCCTGTTATTCAGTTGTCATTCGTTGCTGCACATGTATGTTTTTTGTATGTAAATAAATCCGGCCATTATTTTTCTGGTATGAATTGTTTCACATTAGTAATTTCGAGGCATTGTATGTATAGCTATGCAGCATGGGTTTTGCTCATTGTTGAAGGCCATATGATGACATAACTCTTTTACGTCATTTTGATCTTGGGCAGAGAGACGTCTCGTTGGGAATTGCGCCAGATCTTATTTCTATATTCATGACTTGCTGATTTGGTAATGACAACTTGAGCAATAGGAGCCACTTCCTTTCTGTTTTATTAGGGCCCTGCCTAGTGGCGGTTCGCCCCATAGTGATCAGTCTGTCCGTAAAAAATTGTATCCGCTCTATATCTTAGAGAACTGTTATAATTTCATACTTTATACTTGACATATATATTAACCCACACAAGAGGGTGTTGCACTGTATCATAACTTCCAAGGTCAAAGTTCAAGGTCAAAAACTTTGGTTTTAGTTGTCAACCCCTTGTCCTATGGTAAAGATCGACTGCTCTATATCTTGTGAACCGTTGATACTTGACATGTATATTAACCAATATAGAGGGGGTGACATAATGTGTATACAATTTCCTAGGTCACGGTCAAAAACCGATTTCAATTGACAACCCCTTGTCCTATGGTAAAGATCGACCGCTGTATAACTTGTTAACCGTTATTTCAAAGATACTTGACATGTATATTAACCAACACCAGAGGGTGTGTCATAATATATGTACAAGAATTTCCTGAAAGATCACAAGTCTCTTTGAAACAACAAACCATCTTGTATTGCATCTTAAAAAATTGTCCCGCAGTATTGTTTTTGTCGGGCCTCTTCAGGTACTGATCCAGCCATTTTAATACGACCGCCAAAAAATTTTGTGGTCGTATATTGGTATGACGTTGGCGTCGTCGTCCGAAGACGCATTGGTTTTCGCACTCTAACTTTAGTTTAAGTGAATGGATCTCTATGAAATTTTACCATAAGGTTCAATACCACAAAAGGAAGGTTGGGATTGATTTTGGGGTTATGGTACCAACAGTTAAGGAATTAAGGGCCAAAAATAAGCATTTTTGTAACTTCCAGACATAACTTACCCACAAGGTTCCATATCACAAAGGGAATGCTGGGATTGATTTTGGGGGTAATTGCCTCAAAATTTTAGGAATTAGGGGCAAAAAACAAGCATTTTTCTAGTGCATTACAATAACATTCATTCTGTGTCAGAAACCTACTATGCTGTGTCAAATATTTAATCACAATCCAAATTCAGTGCTGTATCAAGCTTGAATGTTGTGTCCATACTTGCCCCAACTGTTCAGGGTTCGACCTCTGCGGTCGTATCAAGCTGCGCCCAGCGGATCATTTTATAAAAGAGAGAGTTCCAACCATGTACCAATTCAAAAGTATTGATCGTCAAAAGATGGGGGGTGAGATCCCTCCCCCAAATGACAAGCTAACAAGGTTGAGTAAACACTAGTGGTAGGTCATGATATTTGGGGTTGAAGCTAGTAAGTTGGCGATCTGTCTAGTCTTTTGGTATTGTCGCACTCATTTCTATGGAGATTAACTGGCCTTGCCCCCTAAGTCGTGGTCTGAAACTTGTTGAATGTATCTTGCCTATTTAAGTTTGGTGATTGTGTCAGTTAGAGATAAACCATTAATGGTGATACAGTGATGTTTTGGTATGCAGTTTTACAAGCATTTGCACATTACATGGAATTGATATAGTGGAGCGGCGAATGTGGAAAAAGACGAGTTAACGAGTTTAAATTACCTAGATACCTCGTGAAATTTTAATATCTTAAAATATGTCGTACAAGTCAAATGTGCGAATGACGTTACCAAACTTTCATTGATTATCCCACTTCTTTTCGATAGATTAATATCACGATTAACCACTTTCTAAACATGATTTGGGAGCTAAATTGGTAAATACTATTACTCGTGAACTCCATACATTATAAGGACAGTTTTAATTCGTCCTGTATTTAAAGCAGAGCGCATCTAAAAATTGTATAAAAACAAACACCTAAAAAATAACTTTTTCAACTAGCATTATTGGCACGCGCAATAAATGTGTATATTTATGTCCACGCCGTAGCGGAGGATGCATTAAGTTTAATCATTGTACGTACGTACGTCCCAAAATTAGTTTAAGGTACAACCACCAAGCCATCGTATAATACTTCAATCGACCAGATTTACATTTTGAAGAAAATTAGTAATAAGCAATATAATTGGTTTAAAATCTGCATTATGCCAAAATTTCAATTCCGGTTTATTGTCGCGCATGAACAAGTTTCCGTCTGTCGTATGACCATAGTCCTTGGCCTCATTTTCATGTTCAGTGACTAGAAAAAAAAGTTAGATTTTTTTTATGTTAATTTCTCTCTTATCATGAGTAATAGGATAACTATATTTGGTATGTGCGTACCTTGCAAGGTCTTCGGGAAAGTTTTCACTTGACCCCGACCTCATTTCATGGATCAGTGCACAAGGTTAAGTTTTCTTGGTCTTCCATATCTCAGATACTGTAAGGTGTACATATCCAACTGGCAAGTGTCATCTTACCTTTACCACATTATCATGGTTCAGTGGCAAAAGTTGAGTTGTGTTTTGGTCTGTTTTTATACGACCGCAAAAATTAAAAAATTTTTGGTCGTATATTGGTATGACGTCGTCGTCGTCGTCTGGCGTCGTCCGAAGACACATTGGTTTTCGCACTCTAACTTTAGTTAATGTGAATGGATCTCCATGAAATTTTACCATAACGTTCAATACCACGAAAGGAAGGTTGGGATTGATTTTGGGGGTTATGGTACCAACAGTTAAGGAATTAGGGGCCAAAAATAAGCATTTTTGTAACTTCCAGACAATAACTTGTGTGTAAGTGTATGGATCTCTCTGACATTGTACCACAAGGTTCCATATCACAAAGGGAAGGCTGTAATTGATTTTGGGGGTAATTGCCTCAAATTTTAGGAATTAGGGGCCAAAAAAGGGGCAAAAAACAAGCATTTTTCTAGTTTCATTACAATAACTTGTGTGTAAGTGTTTGGATATTTCTGAAATTGTACTACAAGGTTCCATACCACAAAGGGAAAGCTGGAATTGAGTTTGGGGGTAATTGCTCGAAACGTTTAGGAATTGGGGGCCAAAAATAAGCATTTTTCTAGTTTCCAGACAATAACTTGTGTTCAAGTGTATGGATCTCTCTGAAATTGTACTGCAAGGTACCATACCACAAAGGGAAGGCTGGGATTGAGTTTGGGTGTGATGAATCATAAGGGGGTTAAAAAAATTGGGGGGGGGGGGATATTTTTTTTTCTTTTAAAATTTTCCATTTTAAGTTGGTTATTTCTGATTTATATTTAAAAGCAAATAATGATATGGTAGGAGATACACACCAAACAGGATGTGTAAATTATTATATAATAAGTATTGTGCAATAGCAAGAAATTTTCAATTGCACAGTATTGCACAATAGCAAGAAATCTTCAATTGCACAGTATTGCGCAATAGCAAGAAATCTTCAATTGCACAGTATTGCGCAATAGCAAGAAATATCCAATAGCACAATATTGCGCAATAGCAAGAAATTGTCAATTGTACAGTATTGCGCAATAGCAAGAAATATTCAATTGCACAGTACTGTGCAAAAGAAGATACTTCCTATAAATTGCTTATTTCTTGATCAATTTCAATGGGGTTTTATTCTTGAATTCTTGGGGTTCTTTAATATGCTGAATCTAACCGTGTATAAAGTTTTTGGATTTTGGGCCCCGTTTTTAAATTGGTCCACATTGAGGTCCAAAGGGTCCAAAATTTAACTTTGTTTGATTTCATCAAAAATTGAATTATTGGGGTTCTTTGATATGCCGAATCTAACCGTGTATTAAGATTCTTTATTTTTGGTTCCATTTTCAAATTGGTCTACATTAAGGTCCAAAGGGTCCAAAATTAAACTTAGTTTGATTTTAACAAAAATTGAATTTTTAGGGTTCTTTGATATGCTGAATCTAAACATGTATTTAGATTTTTGATTATGGGCCCAGTTTTCAAGTTGGTCCAAATCAGGGTCCAAAATTAAACTTTGTTTGATTTCAACAAAAATTGAATATATGGGGTTCTTTGATATGCTGAATCTGACCATGTATTTAGATTTTTGATTTTTGGGCCCCGTTATCAACTTTGTCCACATTGAGGTCAAAAGGGTCCAAAATTAAACTTTGTTTGATTTCATCAAAAATTGAATTCTTGGGGTTCTTTGATATGCTGAATCTAACCATGTATTTAGATTTTGGATATTGGACCATAATAGGTGAATGTCCAATTTAAAATTTTTAAGTTCTTAGACCACATTCATTCTGTGTCAGAAACCTATGCTGTGTCAAATATTTAATCACAATCCAAATTCAGAGCTGTATCAAGCTTGAATGTTGTGTCCATACTTGCCCCAACTGTTCAGGGTTCGACCTCTGCGGTCGTATCAAGCTGCGCCCTGCGGAGCATTTTATTTAATACTGTATGCAGTAGGTCAACTGTATTTGGTGTATGGAAATATTTTAAGAGTTACATGTCAGTCTGGCAGGTTTTATTCGACTTTGACCTCATTTTCACGGTTCATTGCTCAATGTTAAGGTTTTGTGTTTTGGTCTCTTTTTCTAATACTG